ATAGATAGATAGATAGATAGATAGATAGATAGAAATGAAAAGATCGAGACAGAAATGAAAAGATCGAGACAGAAATGAAAAGATCGAGATAGATAGATAGATAGATAGAAAGAAATGAAAAGATCGAGATAGAAATGAAAAGATCGTGATAGATAGATAGATAGATAGATAGATAGATAGATAGATAGATAGATAGATAGATAGCACTCCGTGTAGCATCTGCACATGGCTTAGAATATACACGTCACTCACTCTCTAATTTACGAGTAGAATAAATTCAACCTTTCCTTCCTTCTTTTCCTTCATTTTTTTTTTTATTTTTTTACTTTAACTTTTCTCTACACGCAAAATGTTCCCCGTGGATATATCTATCTTGTGTTTCAACGTTTTGTTTGTCTGTTTTCTCAACCAACTCAACACATTTAGATTTTGTTCAACACACGACGCCTCCCCAACTTCAAACAACAACCCCCTAACCTAGTAACCGTGTTTTCTGTTCACTTCAATAACAGACCTAGCATCATTCTACAGTAGAGGCTTTACACTTGCATGTTACTACTACTACTACTAATAATAATAATAATATTAATAGTAATATAATAATAATAATAATAATAATAATAATAATAATAAAGTATGCCGATAGCTCAATACCGTTTTCAAATAAATTATTATTATTTATTCTAATGATAACCAAAATAAAGTTTCTCTGTTCATCGACATAACTGCACCATGCGATCGCAATATTTCTTTCAAAGAAATTCAAGATGAGTAAATACAAGGACCTTCTCAAATAGAAATTTTAAAAAATGGTGGCATCATAGTTATCCGTAAAATAGCGGAAGCACATTGAATGAAGAGCAGGAGAAAGAGATAGATCAGATAATAAGGAGGAGGAATAGGAGGGAGAAAAGAGCAGGAGAATAAGAAAAATCAGATAAAGAAGAGGAGGGTAAGGGAGAAGAGGAGGAGGAGAAGAAAGATCAGATAAAGAAGAACAGGAGGAGGAGGGAGAAGGAGAAGGAGAAGGAAGACCAGATAAAGAAAAGGAGTAAGTGAGGGAGGATGAAAAGGACACAGAACCAAGACAATGATGAATTTGGTGTGCATGTGTTGATATCTTTATCAGAAGAAACTGATGTAGCAAATTGTGATGTCAACAAAACAAAGAAAGCAACACAGAAAATATGAAATGAACGAATGAAGACATGAAAAAAAAGAAGGCAAAAACAATGCTACTTTTATATTTTAATTCTGTTGAACAACGAAACCGGGAGCCAAAAATGTTCGATCCTTCCTGTCGGGATCGATCTAAATAAATCTGAACGTAAAACAAGACAAATAACCAACAGCAACAACGGACACCAGTCACCCATGTCGAATCTCTCCGGCTTGTTTAATTTTTTTTTTCTCCAGGCGAGACCTTTGACCTTCAGGCAACTACAGATCAGGAAGGAAATCACAAAATGTTGAGATTCGTCGAGTTTACATAATCTGAAAAAAATAAAAATAAATAAAAATATTTTGTTTATAAAATTTATAAAAAATCACTTGGACAAATAAACAATTTCTGTTAAAATATCAATAATGTTGCTTAGATCGCCTTTCTAGCTTCTTGCTTCCCAATCATCTTTGATCTTCAAAAGTTTAAATCCAATCTCAGTCGTTATCTTTTCTTCTTTTTTTAAAATTAGTAGCACCCCATGCAAGGCAGTTTAAAACCACTAAGACACAAGAGGTTACAGGGTGTCGAAGAATTTGGAACAGAAACATTAATGATGAGAGGGAAAAGGAAAGAATAATCAGGAAGACAGTAGATAGCGATTGACATTGCACTTAAACTTTTGCAGATTAAAGTTGGCTGGAAAGCATGCAGCCGGGAGGGAGTTTCACAAGTGAGAAGTGCGAGAAAATAAACTGTTAGCATAGAATTTACGGTTACAGATCGACTGTAAATTGATAAGATCTCGACGCCAGTATCGTACTGCGTTTACATTCAAAAAGTCTACGTACCATAGCGAAGAGCTCATTCGAACAATTACCATGAAAGTATTTATAGAAAAGATCCAGGGAGGTAACCTTATAGCGGTGGGAAAATGACTGGAGCCGTGCTGCCAGATCAGGACCAATAATATTGTTGATTCTTCTTTGGATTACTGTCTTTTAAATCCATGTTCTTTTATTTTTTTCTCTCTCTTTAATAATGTTTTTGTTTTTTTTTCATATTCCTTCCCAGTCAGTAACTCCCTTGCATCTTAGTGGCTTTATTGCCTTGCTTTGGGTGAAATGATTAAGACAAAAATTAGATAAATAATAAAATAAAGATAAAGAAAAACTACATGATATACGAGGTCTGATAAAAAAAAAAGTCCCGTTCTGAAGCCACACACTTTATCCAGCGTTGTTTCCATTGGTGGAAGCATTCCTGGAACTCCTATTTTGGGATAACTAGCAGCTGCTTCGTCATATTCTCTTGGATTCTCTGGACGTTTTGAAATCTTCTTCCTTTCAAATGGGCTTTGATTTTTGAAGAGAAAAAAGTCGCAATGGGCGAGATTTGGGTAATATGGCGGTTGTCTGACCTGGTGAATGCTGTGTTTGACCCAAAACTGCTGCACAAGCCATTATCACTGATGAAGCCTCTGTGGTGTGGTAAGACGACCACACTCTACACACTTTCCTTTCAAGTACTGCTATGTATAACGGAAGTGAGCAAGAACGTTATAACTTGGTGCACATGCGCGACAGAGTTCAAAGTAAATCTATGCCAAGTGGTTTTACCCTGCGTAAATTAGCTCTGTTACCATATCAACAGTCCCGATACCTTTTGATCAGACCTCGTATTCTACCCATAATTATATATATATATATAATTATTTATTCGAAAATTATAATATAAATATGTTATAAAATCACTACAAAAATAGCCATTTTGTTTCAGCACTTCTGGTGTCTTATTAAGTGATAATATTGAACTTTCAACACCATCACTTGATAAGACATCAGAAGTGTTGAAACAAAATGGCTATTTTTGTAGTGATTTTATAACATATTTATATTATAATTTTCGAATAAATAGTTATATTTGCTCTAGTTTGCACTCTTTTAAAAATATTATTTGTTGGCTAATATTTCATGGTTATAATTTATTACATTGGAATCGTAATCACGATCCAATTCATCAGACCTACAAATTCAAAATTTATATAACCATGGAATATTAGTATTTGAGCCTTTTATATCATATTCTTACTCTGTCCTGGACATTGAGTTCTACCTGGATTTTATCCTCTTGGGAATTCATATATATATATATATATATATATATTGACCGCGAATATTATCAATATCTATCTTTCTCTCTCTCTCTCTCTCTCTATCTATATATATATATATATATATATATATGAACATTTCATTGAATACGACGACAAGGTGCAAGGTGATTTAGTTTTTATACAATTTCTCATGCGATCTAATAAGTTTTTCTTTTTGAATGATAAATTATATAAAAACTGTCCGATTGTTCTTTTTTTCCAAACACTTTTTTCCAAGCTGTACATTTAGCCATTTTCAAGGCTGAAATATATTAACTGTTATCAAGAACCAGTTTGTTGTATGTATGTATTTATATAATGTTTTCATTTTCAAAACACGGTCATGATATTGTGTCTATGTTCATAGTTGATATTATTGAGTGTTGGGTTCTTTCTTTGTTTTTATTAATAAGGCTTCAATTAGTTTTAGCCTTTTTTGCATGTATAGCTGAATGTGCTCGGATAAAAAGAACAATCGGGCACTTCTCACATGAGAAATTGTATAAAAAACTAAACCAAAGCAGCTTGTCTGTCGTATTCAATAAAAGAAGATGTACCGGTTGTGACAGCAAAATTATTCAAATGGTTTAAAAGCAAATTGTCCATTTGTTAGATTAAGCTTTGAACCGTTGTATCATAGAAATGATTAAATATATCTTACTGGAATTCTCCGAGGATTTTATAATACTATTGGACTCTACTTTGAGCATTGTATAATTATTCTTCAAGCTTCACAGAAGAATCGTGATGAAATCGATCATAAACAAAAATAACATTTTCATCATTAATTAATTAATCATAGCTAAGGATCAGAAGCTTATGAAGGATTGAAAAAAAGTTCATATATATATATATATATATATATATATATATATATTATTTCAGGATAATTTTCCAACTTATTCAAGATGATCTTCGCCTATTCTAACCATCTAACTTCTAACTTTCTGTCCAGGAGTAACAAAATGCTTCATAGGTTTCACATACGATTTCATTTTCAAGTTGTTTTTTTTTTCACTGCTCTTTGGACTGTCATAGGTGAAACTCCTCTGGTACGTGGCAAACGTCTTATGAATTGAGTTGGATCTTTTCTAATTGATCTCTTAGGCTCCAAATTAGAATGCTGATCCCTCTTCCTGTAGTGAACTCCTGATCTAGTTTTCTTCTCTACTGTTCACTCTTTTTTAAACTTATTCACTCAAGCTCAATTAGTTTTGTGGTCATTTAGATATTAAACATTTGTGCGATGGACCATTATCCCATGCTGTTACACGATTTGGACAATTTTGCTGTTACACCTGATATATATATATATATATATATATATATATATATATATATATATATATAATAAAAATATAGTTTTAAGGTATGCTATATTTTATGGGTTAAAGTGCCCAATATCAGGGATAGCGTTGGACATTCAGGCTAACACTCAGCGGCGACAGTCTGCTTCATTCTTAAACACAATCTTTAGGCCAATAAACAGACTGTCGCCGCTGAGTGTTAACCGCAATGTCCACTCATATAAATATATATATATATATATATATATAGAGAGAGAGAGAGAGAGAGAGAAAGAGAGAGAGAAACAGATAGATAGATAGAGAGAGAGAGAGAGAGACAGACAGACAGACAGACAGACAGAGTGTGTATGTGTGACTAACAAAGGCATTTATATTACGATATTTGTTGGTCGTGTATACTGATCTTACTATGTGTTTTTCTATATAAATATTTTTTATTGAAATATCCCCCGTCTTACAACCAAGAAATATTCTGAGTACTGAGGAAGTTTAATTCTGTATTTCCTTTGAATGTTTTGCATCTGTTTATATCAAGTCCTGCCAGCTATCTCTTTGTAAACAGAAGGAGTGGTTGGTGGACTTTAATCTGTAGGTATTATATATCTGCAGGTATTATATATTGGATAACATTTGTTATTTGGTGTTCATTTTTATCGCTGTGTTCATTTTCCGTCTTTAATTCAGCTTTAATAAGAGATGACAGATAAACCGGTATAGCTGCCTTTTTCATAATCACGTTGTATTTCAATAATTACCACTTTGCGGTAATGTTATTTTTTATTATCACTCTTTTTTTGCTATTAATTTTTCCTCTTGTTTTAATATGTCCGTTTATATCGTTTTAATTAAATTTTGTAAAATTATAAAACCTATACAAAAGTTAAATATTGTCACAATTTCAGGATATGAAAGGTTTGATATTTTCTCTGAGTCATTAATATTTAAACCGAATAAACTGAGTATATAATTAATTAATACAATTAATTTAAAATAAACAATAATCGGGAAGATTGTAAGAATTTAAATGGCTTCACTTACCCAATTATATGATCGTTGATGAATTTATTGGGTTTATTTAAGTTTTTAGACTTTTTTACAAAATTCTCTTTTATAACAGCGAAATTAACATTTTAAGCGCTTCTCAATATTTAAATGTTGACTTGAAATATGTCTATGATTACCATTTCTTATATAGATTAAAATATGATATCTGGTAACAATTAATTAAACGGTTAATTTTGCTCGTGAACTAATTTTGTTTAAATGCAGATAAATATTTTATTTGTATACATTATTAAAACGACTAAGGGACGTAATCACTTATACGCTTACTGAGTTAAGTTGATTTACCTCCCTTGCACGACAGAATGAACAAAAATTATATAAATATATACACATTGATAATTATTATATAATTTTATTATTATTATTATTATTATTATTATTTCTTTTGATTTCTGTTGCATACACATTTCTTCCCGGTCCCAGCCAGATACCTAAGGTCAGAAATGGCTTCATGACATTGTCTACTGATCAAAACAAAATCTAAGATCACACATATTTTAAAGAGATAATGCTCTTTGTCATATGTGAGTTGTACTTGTGAGTACAACGTTTTGTATTTCTTTAAGGCATGGGCTACCAGGAATCCTTTCAATGGGACAATCGAAAGTTTTTCCAATCAATCCGAGAACCTCAACTACAACTGGTATTATTGATGTCCTCATGTGCCACATTTTTTTGATTTTCACTTCAAAATCCTTGTATTTTGATAGTTCTTTGAAGATTTTCAAAGATACATTACAGTCTGCGGGGACTGCCATGTCAATGAGAAAGCCCATTCTGTTCTTGTGGTCTTTGATCAAGATGTCTGAGTGATTAGCATTGATTCACGATCTCTGGTCTATTATTATTATTATTATTATTATTATTATTAAATCTGAATTCATCATTTTCATATCTGAATCTTCAATGGTTTTTTATAGCCTTCAATGTCATAAGTCAATCTGGTTTATTTTTCAAGTTCATAACACCCGTCTGATATGATAAATTATTCAAAATCTTTCGTACCTTTGCTGAAAGAAAGAAAAAAATGAAAGAAAGAAAAAAATGAAAGAAAGAAAAAATGAAAGAAAGAAAGTCTAAATAAGAATCTCATCTGAAAATTTAATATACACACCTTTATGGAAATCCCGGGCGTGAAAAGGTCGTGTTGGTAGACCTCGATATGCCAGACCCAAAGCACGGAACGAGTAGTACATTCCAATTGAGCCGACAGTAGCCCCGATTAAAATAATGCATATATCCAAAGCCCTTGTATACCAGGGTAGCACCTTCCACTTGATTTTAATGTGGAAATAACAGGGCCACACAAAAGAAAGCATCGTGCCCGTAAAGCTCCCAATAAGACCCATCAAAATGGCGAAATGTGGAATGAAGATCGCAAGCATCATAGTAGCGAGAACGAGGCCAATGCGGAGGCAAAGAGCCCAGACTTTAAGACGGTAACTCTCGTCGAAGCAGGAAGGAAAAAGCGTGGCCGGTTTCCCACTGAAGTATGTCGACTGGATCATTTCAACGGCTGCGTAATAGGGCAGCGGGTAGGATAAGATAGATTTAGCAACAAGGATTAAGTTGACCACAATCTTCAAGCCCTGGGTCGGTAAGTTGTTGGTAATCACCTCCTGGGTATTGAAACCCCACGTCAGAAAGCAGATATACGCAAAGAGGGCTTTGAAAAAGGCGGCTGTTAAGTGGGTCCAGTGCATCATACAGTGGAAACGAGATCTGTCCTTCATGTTACCTTCAAGTGTCGGTAGAAAGATCTGGGAGGTGTAGCTGAAGACCACAATCCCCATTGAGATCGGGAATGTCCATATGTCCACCTTGACCTGGACCTCTTTCCAGTGCCATTCAGTAGCGTTCGTGAAACAAAAGATGAGGATAAACGCATTGATAGCCATGTGCGCCATCGTACACCAGAAACTCAGCCAAGAGACCCCACGTAGTGATTTGAGAAAGGCGTAACTGAGCAACGGGACTGTAGCGATCATGATCCACGAGGTGAGGGTGATCGGACTCTCAGGAAAACTTCCCAGGATCAGTTCACCGCTCAAAAGTACGTACAGAATGCAGGTCATCAGCAGTTCGATTAGTTGAGCCACGTTTACGATTTTACCTCCAAATCTATACAAAAGAAAGCAGATATGTGATATGGGTAACACATAATGTATTTTACGATTAGAAGACAGTACACAAACAAATAAAGTAAAGATTTCAAGAACTAATTTTTTTTTACAATAATGTTCACTCATGAGAAGACCCAAGAGCTACTTGAGGTAGAATGTTACAGAGAAAGAGGCACTGTTTATGCAAATATGTGTGATAACGATTAACCCTAGAGTTGGACTGGTTAAGATTGTAGAGATCGAGAAAGCAACCCATTGGGAGTCGGTTGCACAAGTGGTTCCATGTGTGTAGCATTGCGGGGTTTAGCCATGAAGGTTACGACCGGTTAAGACTGGTTAAGACTGGTTAGAAACTAAAGAGGTGTAGTTCGTCTGATCATTCTCTATGGAAATAGCAATTGAGTAGCGAGTGGTTGTAAAGGGTTGTAGGGTTGAAAATAACAACTGCACTTAGACGCTTTTGGACTATCAAGAGGGCAAGGTAAAGACTGGCCAATTCCTACCTATATATGGCAGAAGTACTCCATTTTCGTCCTTTCATATGTTAAATTTAAATTTGTACAAAGAAATGACTCCTAGGCTATAAGTATATAAGTATATTTCATTTTGATCAAATGGGGTCTCCGGGAGACAGAAGACCCCCCCACTGAATTTCTTTTCCTTTTGATTTAAATTAAATTTAAATTTGAACAAGGGAATGACTCCTATCCAAAAATTTAGAAAGAGAAAGCCAGAAGATGAAGATCCCATCAGCAAGATCAAAATGAGACAATATGGATGTCAGATTGAGCAAGAAATCATCAATCAGTGGCTAGTGCCTTACAATACCTATTTGTTGCGAGAATTCAACTGTCATATCAATGTTGAAATCTGCTCATCAATTCATTCAATCAAGTATTGCATTAAATACACGTCAAATAGGTCAGATCGAGCTGTTTTGTACCACCCACTGAAAATTTTATTTCCCTTTCATTTAAATTAAATTAAAATTTGAATAAAAGGAATGACTCCTATCGAAAATATAGGATATATATATATATATATATATATATATATATATATATATATATATATATATATATATATACACCCCTGGTCAAAATCTTAAGACCAGATACAAAAGGGTTAAAAAATAAAATAAAATACTGTTATTTTAATCAAAATATATTTGCAAAACATTTATATTTAATTAGAAAATATAGTTTATCAACAAACAAGTGAAAATTTTAAGCTTTTAATTGATTAATTTAAACAAACATTGAAAAAAGTATTTTTGGTTGGTCATAAAGATAAGACCATGTAAATAAAATAGCGAATAGAGAACAAATAAGTCTCAACGACAATCTGGTCTTAAGATTTTGACTATATATATATATATATATTATTGGAGGCACGGTGGAGTAGTGGATTGAGGAATCGGAGAGCCGAGTTAGAATTCCAGTTGAATCCATTACATTCACTTACGTGCTAATACCCTTGGGAAAGGTATGAATCCTCTAACTTTTTTCCCTCCAGATTTGGGTAAACAGCAGGACAGACCGAGTTCTATAGCCTTGGATGGCAACTGGTCTAGGAGAAGGACAACTCTGAATTCAAAACTTGCGTAGGGTCGTTTGGGTCCTTGTGGCATGTAGTATTCTGCCCTTCAAAAAAGTTTGGTTGGTTCTGCACCAAGTCTTCACATGTCAAAGAGGTCAGATCGAGCTGTAATCAAATCATATGTGCTGGTGTTTGGACTGTCGGTTCCGAGGAACGGAGCTGCTTGACCTTCATACGTCGAATACGACAGGAGAGTCGAGTATATTAAAGGTGAAACGCGTAGTCTATAAATTGTTGTTCGGATTCTATATCCGTCTGGCACAAATGTGTGTGTTTATATGTATTTTTCATGGAGTTGTCGACAATTTCGTGAAAATATGAACGAATATTATTTGGATGAAATATGCATTGTTGCTATTATCATAACGTTTTGGCTGTTGTGCTCCCCAGTCTTATTTGGGTCTCTTTCGATCCGAGTAATGTTCATGGAATTTCGAATCTTTTATTTAATATTCGGAGATAGATTCTTCTCGTTCCGTTGTTCATGCCTTTACTTAACTCGGCTTACGGTCATATCACGTTGTAACACCGGTTAAGTTAAGCAACTTCGAGTCTGGTCAGTGCCTAGATGCTTGCCAGCTTGTGAATATCAGGTGCTGCAAGCTTGAATGTGCGGGTGGTATCACGTTGAACACACCGGTCCTCGTATGATAATAAAAGTTAAGCAACGTTGAGCCTGTTCATTATCTAGATGGGTGACCGCTCGGGTGTGCCGGTAGTGTAGTGGATAACGGCTCGGAAATCTAAATCGGAGAGCCGAGATTCAATTCAAATCGGGTTCTTTTCTCATGTTATTTGTGCGTAAGTCAATACACTTACGCACAAATAGCCTTAGAAAAAGTCTGAATCCACCTCTTATCCCCAGATATGGGCTAATTAGCAGCATTTTTACCAGTAGATCATTATTATGTTTTAAAAGTTCTTACAACCTAACATATTTCCTGGCTTTAAATAGCATGCAAAAGGTTGATAAGCTGTAAAAAAAAAAAAAAAAAAACCTAATCAATCGACAATCAATAGGGTTATCTCTTCTTGTTCTTTTTAGTATTGTGCAGACTTAGTGTCAGTGGCATAACACCGAGTCTAAGTTTGTACTACTCTGCCCAGGGATTGAACTCACAATTAATATTCCACCAAATTCACGAAACAATGCTTCAACTAGTCTATTTCTTCCGTGGTACAATCCTGTCGTCTTAAACCTAATTATCTTATTGTCTTCCTATTGCTGTAGCTACTGTTGCTATTACGCTTGACCGCCTTTGCCACCCCGTTTCTTTTCTTACTACTGTTGATCTGCTGAAACTTTTCTGTTGTTTCTCTTTCTTTCTTTATTAATATCTCCCATATGGTAGTTATGCTAGGACTACTGAGAAGACCGTCATATGCACTGATTCCTTTAGACGTTTGATCCTAAAGTGTTTTTCTCTGTCTAAACGACCGAACGTTGTGATAATAACAATAAAAATGCGGATATTAATCCAAATGTAAGTAATGTAAATAATGATAACTCCTTACCCTATAAATTAAGACAGAAATGACGACACGAGTATGAATATTTCATGGAATACGGACAATGCATCTTATTTCAAAGCAAGTTACTCTTCACTTACCTTTTTCCCATGGCTTCCTCTGCGATCTCGACGTAGCTACGACGCACGCGCACAAGATATCCGCTGGAGTCAACTTCATAGAGACACTCGACCAAAATCTTCCCTGTATGGCAGCAAATGTAGGCAACTACAATGATGGAGACAATCGCCCAGTAACCTCCTTGCAAAACCGTGTAGGGGAAACTTACGATGAACATACCCTGAAAAGAAAATGATAACCGAATGAATATCGTTTGGTCATTGATATTTTCATCCTTCTACATAAGTACAACGTAGGAGATCACCGCAGCTTCCTTTTCTCTAATAAACTGTAAACTGTGCCTTGCCAAGCTTTGTGATTGGGAAAGATAGTAGAATAGATGCTTCTTCCACGGGTTCATTTTCAGAGCTGTCTTTCTCTTAGACTGGCTGGATGTGCATGATGGTGGATAGCAGTTCAAAATGAGAAATCAGAGAGGCCAGTTCGAATTCCAGTCGGGTCGTTGCATTCATGTACACTTACGGGCAAATATCTTTGGGGAAAAAATATGAATCCATCTCCACCCCCCACCCCGAGTAATGACTTAAATAGTAAGATTTTATCTTGAAAAAACATTGATAATCCCCAAAATGTGCAGATGGTGTAATGATAGCATTTAAAAATGGGGAATCAAGATGCCGAGTTCGAATTCCAGCGCTAATACTTCTGGGATAAGTATGAATCCGTCTCCTCACTCGAGCTATGGGTTAAATAGTAAGATTTGTATCTGGAAAAAACTATTGTTATGCTAAAAAAAAAAACATAATAATGAAATATTCACTTGCAAAAAGAAATTAATTATTCTTAAAATCCAAAATCTGTTTTGGCTTCAAATAACCCACAAAGGGGTCTAGTAAAAAAAATCAATAAGTCAATCAATCTTAGACTTGCTACAACTCAAGGCTAGAGAGCCCCGTATACACAGATATTTAACATATACACATGGAGTCATGCCTTTTTCAAGCGTATTAGTGCATCGTAATCCAGACGGGAATTTGAACCCTTTACGCTAGTTCCACTTTCCACGGAGAAAACCATTGTACTCCCTAGACGTATTAAAAAAAACAACATGCCAAGCCAAACTACAACTTCCTCTTCTTTATTATCCGTAAATAGCCGTGATGTCTTGAGAAAAATCAGTGTGCACCAAAGAGGAACAAAGAGCAGTGATCTGAATCTTCAGAGAACTTGCTACCTCGTCGATGATAACTTGCCGGGCCGTCATTACCATTTCTCGGGCTGGCTGAACCTTCTCGTCAGTGGTGGAGGTTGACGGGCGTACTGCTCCCTCTTCGTACGTCACACTTGTCCAGCCACTTTTAAACTTCCCGATCAAATCATGCACAACCTCCACGCGGTAGCGTACTGCCGCCATATTGTGTTAAAAGCCTCCGATGGATTTTAGCCCCTGATTCGCCAGAGATATCGGATGGCTGCTCTTTGTTCCTCTTGGTGCATATAGGAGAACAAATATTACATATCAGTTGAGCACTAGCAGATGAAATATGAAGTTAATGACAGACCTGTCGTCTTCCATTTTTCTTTGCGCGAATTGTTAAAAAGAAGCACGAATAAAGTGTATGAAACTCGTTAAAACGTTAGAAAACGTATATCTGTTTTTGTTTTTTTAATATTCAGTTTATCTATTTAGAGAAAAAAAAAGGCTTTTTATATCCTTACGTGAAAGCTGACAAACGGTTCAAATGGAATGGGCGATCCGAGTTCAAATTCCGTCTGAGGTACTTTGTGTTTACTTTGCACTGTTACCCGAAGTAAAGAAATGAATCCGTTTTTTCTACTGCCGTTTATGGGTTATGCCTTGAGTGGCAGCCAATCTAGACATAAGACGACTCGGAATTCGAACTTGTAGGCAACGGTAAAGCAGTTTATACTATTGGAGCGACCGTGTGAACATTGTAACTATAGCAAAAAAAAAAAAAAAAACCGGGCGCGATCAACCACAAACTTAGATCACATGGCAACAATAGTACTGACTATAAGCACGCATGAGCAGAAGGCAGCGTGACAAACATAAAGACATGTTATGGCGAAAGTGGGGTTTTTTTTTTTTTTTACTTAACTTCGTATGATAAAAACGTAACGGGTACTTATACTTAGAATCAGAAAGAGACTGTTAAACTCTCTTGGACACATAATGAGGAAAGAGAGCCTCGAGAATTTGAGACTCACATGACAAGGCAAGAGGGACAGAGAGAACGGGAAATAGAGAGTAACCTACCTAAAAAGGCAGTATAAGAAGGGGCTCGAATAATAAAATGACAAATATTATCAAGAGCTACAAGGGATACAAAATTGTGGAGAGCTATGATCGCCCACGTCGGGCAGAAACCCGCTACATAGAAGAAACAGAAGAACAAGAAGAATGTGTTCCCGTGGCCTAATTTATAAGGTAGTGACCATTTCAAAAAAAGTCCACAAACATATTTGAATTTTGTCGAAGGCTACTACTGAAACATGCTGTTTATTTAACGGTCGCAGAATTTGGGAACGGCCTGTGTGTATCGATGAAAAGTGACAAATTTAAATTGAAAGAAAAACTACTTAAAAATTGAGAATGATCCATCTAAGAAATATAAACATTTTGATGTTTCGAGTGTAATCAGAGAAATACCTCAGCTCGAATTTAAACATTGCTAACCACCACAGGAATATATATATATATATATATATATATATATATATATATATGCTGATTTTTATGTGATCTTAGATGACTAGAAAACCCGCCACCAAGTAGAACAACTTTCCCACAGATATTGCATACAAGCTCAGTCTGAATATCTTCTGGGATCGAGTTTACACCCCCTTTTCCTAAGAAGTGTTTACAACATCAAATGTTGACTCCTTTTGACCTCAAAACGAATGCAACTATTAAAAAACTAACTTTCCCTAACCAGACCTATTCTCTGTCTCTTTTTGTCCAGTCTTTGAATAATTTGTGAAAAAATAACGTTTAAATTGTGGAATCTTCCACATTAGCCTTTAACCCCCTTCAGAAAAATGTATTCTTCTCTGAAAAGCCTTTAACCAATCATCATCTCGCTTTTACAAATCCAATCTTTTTATTAGTTAATAAACACCAAAGTGTAGCAAAATTCCAAACGAATCCTATTTCCCGCCAAGCTCCTTTGAGCCGATTTCGCTACACAAAAAATCTATAAATTAACTGCAGCCGACTTGATTCAGATAGTTAGCCACCGGAGATTTTGGCCAAGATCCTGCAGGAGCGTTTGCAGTCAGTTGCCGAGTCTCTGTTGGGTCCTGAGCAGACTTGTTCTGTGAGGGGCCGAACAATTCAGAGCAACCTGTATCTGATCCGCACGATCACAGAGGGTATAAAAGACTACTATGAAGCCGCGCTGATCAATTTGGATCAGTCCAAGGCATTTGAAAGGGTTGACCATCGCTACCTTGCTGCTGTCCTTCAGGCTGCAGGATTCGCACCCGACTTCTGCCGCTGGATTAGCCTCCTGTATCGCTCCACCAGTGCTTTGGTACAGGTGAACGAGAAGCTGTCGGACGCTTTTGCGCTGTCTAGGTCAGTCCGTCAGGGTTGTCCACTATCGCCGCTACTTTATGCTTTGGCGTTGGAGCCTCTCCTTCGCCGTTTGAGGGACAGGGTGTGCAGTCCGGCCCTACGCGTAATTGCCGTTCCTGGAGGAGCTCGATGATGTATCTGCTTTCGTGCCGTCCCGCAGCGACATTGGGGCGGTACTGAAGGCGCTTGATCGGTACGAAAAGGTGACAGGGACCAAGATTAACTGCGACAAGTCGTCGGGCTTGCGGTTAAGTGCCTGGAAGGGGTCGATCTTCCGGGGCCCTTCGATTGGACGGACGGTCCTGTCCGCATTCTTGGAGTGTGGCTTGGACCAGACTTCCAGCTGGAGAAAAATTGCTCTGAAGTACGAGCAAAGGTCGATGCTGCTGACCAGACTTGGC